TTAGATTGATTGGGTGTAATGAAAAACAGAAATAGAAACAAGATTCAGTGTGTACTATTGCCAGGGGCCGAGGTGAAATGACAGGAGGTTTCCGTGCAGCGAGAGGCTAACTTATCTTTTAAAGCAGATCAAATCCTATAACCCCACACAAAGCCTTAGTAAATGGGCCTTGAACTGGGAACTTATGCAGTAAGAGTGAGGGATTGGAATCCTCCATCAGGTCAGAGAACACCTAGCCACTCCAGTAGCAGCTACACAACGCGCACATACATGAATTCATTGGCCACAATCTATGCCACCAAACCCTTACATGGTGATGGTGTACTCTGAAGCCCTGCAGATTTAATTGTAGTATGGTCTGTGCTGTATAGGTTCTTATACCATGTTTATCATCAAATTGTCTGATCACTGCTCTGCTGCCCACTTGTATGGAATCCTCACCACATGAGCTCCCCACAGCTTCCCCCTCTGTTCAGTGAGCATGGACTTTGTCTTCTATTTGTGTCCTTTGTGATTAGGTCTGATATATAATTATTTGGACTGAGTCCTGACCAATTTGATTTTCATAATACCTTGCTTTGCTTTTACTTGACTCTTTAAAGGGGGCAATAGTTCAGTGCAGATAAGCAATCAAGCTGATAGATGATTATCCAAAATATTAAAATTTCACAACTAGGAAAATAATGAGCTGGAACTCTCCTGATGATAAGGGGCTCTCGTGTCATATCTATTTAGGCCACTCAGCCTTTGGGCCAGAAATACCAAAGCGACAGCCTTTTTTATAGTAATTGGCCCTTTTTTATTTATATTATGGCAGCAGGTCAGTCAACATCAGGGCCTAATGTGTTTTGTGCTATACCAACATAGCAAAAGACAGTTCCTGCCCCAAACACAATGCAATCTAATTTAAGAAAAGATGCCACGAACAGTAGAAGTGAGGATAAGACCAATAGAAAGAGATAGTTACATAGATTCCATCTGTGCGCACAACTGGCCTGTTTCAAGATTTAAAAAAAATGTGTTTTAACTAGACCTGGCTGGAAAAATGCCAGCAAAACATTTTGTAATTAGAATTTGCCAACCGGATGAAATTAACATTTTTATCGAGATTGTTTGAGTCCACTGAAGTTCCAACCAAAATCAGACAGGAGTCTGTCAGAAACCTACTTGGTTATCTTGCCAGATCTTCAGCAGACTATCCAGCAGGCTGTTGGGGAGCTTAGGGGTTTCAGGTTGTAAAGCCTCTGGGAAGCCCACCCTGCAGACTTCTTCAGCATCAGAGATTCCAGGTCAGGGATAGATCACCATGCAGACTACTTCAGAGTTGAGGGTTGCAGGTCTCCTCCACATTCCCTTTCAGAGAGAATTTTGAATGTATGGGTTTTGTTCCTGATTATAATAAAATCAGATTTTGAAATACTGAAAACCTCCATAAAACAGAATTACCTCTCTCCACCTAACTATACAGTAGTCTTAACATTTAAATATGTAAAATATGTTATTGGTTTTCCCATCTGGTCTGAGTCATAGCCAAGCAGTATGGAAGTGCACAAAAATGAAAAATAATTATAATGATGGGGGAAAGTTAACCACATCTTTTATAGCTACAAAAATGTTCAAGTTTGGTTATAATTTATGGCAGAACTTCAGGTCAGTTCTTATTTTAGCTGGACCATTTCACGCATCCCTAATTTAAAAGCAGACAAAGGCATACCTTTGTAGCTGTTAGATGAATTAGAAATATGGTTGATTTGTTTCCATTTTTAATGCTTCTATTGGCTGAATTATCTAGTTAATTTGTGCTTGAAGATAATTTTCTGCCAGGAACCCAGCAGACTTTTTTATATTGAATCTGTGGTGTAATCTACAGAGGTTTCGTGCATTTTATGAATATATGTACACATTTTTGTGCCCTTTTGTGTTTTTCCAGTCACATTTTGCCATGTGGAGGAAAGCAGCAGAATGATATATATCATCATTTTGTTATGTTTGTTTTTACACTGCATGCTTCTTAAGTTCCTATTTCTGCTCTATAACAAATATGTTTGTATTGAAAAATTAGAAAAAAAACAGTGCTGTGGAATGAAAACAACATAGCCATAGGTTCTGAAAGTGCCTACTATATTTGATGTAGAAGTGTAGAGAATAAATCTTTAGACCAATTGACAGGCAATTGTAAATTGCCAAATATTCTGATCTTGATTGGATTGTGATGTCAATATAAACCCCCAGATGGCATTATAACCTTGTTTTTAAGTCATTTGTTTCCATAATGCATGGATCTGATTCTGTGGTTTAAAAAGAAATTATCCTCGCTCTCACGGTAGATTTAAACAAAGAAATTACAGCAGTACTCTATTCTATTTATTTGAAAAGTTTCCAATTTGTGTATGTTTGGTAATTCAAATGCAGTAGCCTTAAATCCAAGCTTCAGACCTGATGGATGTTTAATGGAACAATGGAAATTATACTATCCTCTAGATATTAAAGTCCATAAGCTAATGATGTCCTGCAACAGCTATTCAATAAAAAATACCATTCAAATTTTAAAGATCATGATTACAGTAAAATTAGTTACATTTCAACAACTTTATGAGAAAAGTGTAAATCCAATTATGGCCAACATTTTACAATAGATGGATATTAACTGATGCTGTGTCACAAAGGAGTCTATATAGTATTACATATTATAGACATGAATACCAAAAGAGTTCACTAGGGTTCATTTTGCCTTGAAGAATATTTTGCAAAAAAAGTACAAATGGTTAGCCCCTTAATGTAATACATTGTGCCATCAAGCAGCCAAAACTGATGTAAATTGCTGTTCAACATGCATTGCTGTTCAACATGCATATTACATTGATATGTAATAAAATTATAGTTCAAAACAAATGTAATGGTAGTTTACAAGTCTGTCAAATTGTACTTGAGGAACAGTAGTAGGATATACTATCATCATAATCAGTCACATTCCTCCAAACAACAAAAACAATAGTGATGCCACATTAAGATTGTCACAAGGCAGGAAATGTGGAGTTAAGATTAAAAGCTAAACCTTCCATCTGCCCAATTGTATTTTGGCCTTAATATGATCAGCACAGTTGATGAGACATTTCACTATTCAGTTAGGGCCTGATCCAAAGCCCCAGTAGTCAATGAGAGTCTTTCTATTGACTTCAGTGGTTTGGGTCAAACCCAAACGCCTTGTCAACTGAAAGACTCCCATTAACTTACATGGATTTTAGAGTAAACCCTTGTATAACTCCACGCATGTGAGTATAATAGCCATATTTTTAAGATTGGTACCTGAAAGTTTATGTTTGTTTCTACTGTCCAGATGCCATAGCATATTTACTCATTGTTACTTTACCACTTTTTTTCCAAACTGCTATTCATTGTCTCCTAGAAATGTGTACATTGTTAAGTGTAAAGGTTCTGCCTTTTTTGAATTCTTAGCCCTTTCTGAATAATAAAGCATTCTAATGAGTTCACAAAAAAAATATTTTGAATGCCTTGATGCATTTAAACCATGTCATAAGAACATAAGAATGGCCATACTGGGTCAGACCAAAGGTCCATCTAGCCCAGTATCCTGTCTTTCAACACTCTCCAATGCCAGATGCCTCAGAAGGAGTGAACAGAACAGGTAACCATCATATGAACATTCTCCTGTCATCCATTTCCAGCCTCTGACAAACAGAGGCTAGGGACACCATTTCTACCCATCCTGGCTAATAGCTATTGATGGACCTAACCTCCATGAATTCATGTCATTAAATAGGATGTTTTTCCACTTCTTACTTCCTTCCGTTTGAAATATGAAACAGACCAAAATTACACAAATAAGAACATAAGAACGGCTGTACTGGGTCAGACCAAAGGTCCATCTAGCCCAGTATCCTGTCTGCCGACAGTGGCCAGCACCAGGTGCCCCAAAGAGGGTGGACCGAAGTCAATGATCAAGCGATTTGTCTCCTGCCATCCCTCTCCAGCCTCTGACAAAGAGAGGCCAAGGACACCATTTTATCCCCTGGCTAATAGCCTTTTATGGACCAGATCCTGTACTCTTACTCAAGCAATACTTCCTCTCAAATAATGAGTAAGATCAAGTCACAAAAGGGTCCCATTGTCTTAGGCCTTGAGCTCACAAATCCTTGCATGGAACACTGCAGGGAATGAAAAATTATTGGGTTCAAGGCACAAGTGTGAGCAGAGGTGACCAGTTGCAAATAGGTTTGGCACTAGATGTGGTCTTGCCACAGAACACAAAGCCCAAAACCCTTACTCTGTACATGTGATTAAAATGGTAAGAAGGGGCAGAAAATATGTACGTGTAAAAAAGACATGGGGCCTTATTTCTCTCTTACCGCAGTGTAAATGAAGAACAACTCTACTGATGTCATTAGAGGTAGACTGTCATAAAAACAGCATAAAAGAGAGAAGTCATATGGTCTTAACTGCAATCCTCTGACCTTAGTTAGGGACTCTCTTCTTTGGCTTTATTTCCATGACAACACAGGAATGGGTTAGCAACAGTGGTCTCATAAATACAAGATTGGGTTCATTTCCTTCCTAAACTCCTATCTTGCCTAATGCTCGGTTTAAAGACCTCACTGATGGACAATCCACTACAAGCCCTGGCAAGCTGTTCCAATGAGTTAATTAATAGTCCTCACTGTTCTAAAATTATACCTTACTTCTTGATTGAATTTGTCTAGTCTCAACTTCCATCCATTGGATCTTTACGCTTTTTTTCTCTTAGATTAAAGAATCATTTCCTATAAAAAAAAAAGTATATGTTTCAAACATGTGACATCGCATCTTGGGCTAGGCCTTCTACAATCTTAATCCCCACCTTACTGGAATGAGGTCAAATATAGAAGGGACTCTGTATGGGCACATTCTCATGTCATCAAGATTTGAATTGGCTTAAATAAGAGGATAATTTGGCCCTTTGGAGCCATTTCTATTTCTGTGCTGCTTTTGTCAAATCTTCCTACCTTCTTGAACTTTCTGCAGAATATAATGATGATGATGACTGGTAGAGTTCCCTTCATCTGGAACATTCCAAAATGACTCATGAACTATATACATACAGTGCCATCATAAAGCAGCCACCAGCAGAGTTGAGATCAAGCAGCCAAGCGTACAGTTGACTCACTAGGAGGACAGGGAGGGAAACAAGCCAAGGGATGTTTGTCTACTCATGGTAGTTTGGAGGAGTAACGGTAGTTCGGAATAGGACGCCTAGTCCAAACTACCTAGTCCGTGCCGCGTGTAGCCGCGCGGCACGGAGTCCGCGCTAGCGGACATTTAAAAATGGCGGCGCCCAGCAAGATACAAATGAAGCCCGGGAAATTCAAATCCCAGGCTTCATTTGCAACTCCGGTTGCCTACATTACCACCCTAGTTCGAACTAGGGTGGTAGTGTAGACATACCCTTACTTCTGAATCAGCCTGGACTACTTGCTCTTCAGCATGCATGGTAAGGGCCAGATTGCCACTGGTCTCTGCATGGAAACACAACAGGGAGAGACAGGAGGAAACTTGACTTCCCTTTGCATTCCTTCTCACTGGGTCATGCAGAACACAGATAGTGCTGTGCACACAGTAAGCCTTGCTCCCTCCTGATACACCTGGCACTTTGTGCCAGAAAAGAGGTAGGGAGATATCAAGATCATAACCCTCCCTGAATGGGCTACCAAAGTTGGCTGAATGCTGAGAAAATGATAGCTGCACCCTGTCTGACAGTGGTGCAGCTGTCCTGGTGGCATGTGCTGATCAGGAGCTCCCAGGAAAATTCTGGCTGCCTTTAGTGCACCTGAGGGCTCCAGCCTTATGGTTTTAATTTTTATCTAAAAATGCCTCGAGTGTAAATCATATAGAGAGGAGATGGAGAATGGGAAATACGGTGGTTCTGGAAGGAGGAGCACAACTGTGAATTTTAAAAAATCATGTGCCAACTTCTTATTTTCTTCTCCTTTGAGCTTTTGCTGGTTCCTGCACAATGTAAATGTGTTTCCCATGTGAGAATTTCCAATACATTAACAGCTCACAGATTTAAAACAGCAAAACTCCCTGGCTTTAGTTTACACATGAACCCACTTGCTTTGAGAGCCCAATCAGAGACACTTGGGCTTGATTTTCAGAGGCCCCTAGTAATGTTCCCTCTATTTTTGTCCATGTGTGGAATAAATTTTGTTGTGTGCACAGAAGCATGTGCTGAGGTGCACCACCAATAGAAACACATGCTGCCAACTGTGGATGGCTATGGGTGCTCTGCTAATCAGCTGGGTAGCATCTGAATCTCTCCTGACTGGCCACCCAGGGATCACTGGCTCCTAGCACCTTCTAATCCAGGTAAAGATGCTGGGAGCTGTGGTTGCTCAGCGCTGCTGAAAACTGAGAGCTAATATCTCAAGTTAGATATCCCAAATCCAGGCCCAGCCAAAGACTGTGCGGGGCCCAAGGCAGCATGCTGAGCCACACGGCCGCATGGCTGCTGGCCAGGTGTGCAGGGCTGGGAGCTGAGCAGCGCGAGGCCCTGAATACGCAAAGCCTTGGAGCCCTGAATGTGCGGAGTTCAAGGTGACCACCTCGTTCGCCTTGCCCAAAGGCCGGGCCTGCCAAAATCAATGGCCACATTTGGAAGCTGTGACCTGTGTCTTGTTGGAAGCAAAGAGCAAGCAAGTCCCTCTCCCCAACAGAATTGTTCATGCTCTATTTGACTTTTGAGCTGATCTGTTTGTTCCCATTGCCGTGATTTTTTCTTGAAAAGTATGAGTAGAAGGAAGGCAGATTGCCTCCTTTTCTCTCTGGATACAGTCACCGTTATTGCTACTCATAGCCTTGGCTATTTGTTCTGAGTACCCAGAATCCCACTGCTTGCACTCCCTTCGCCAGATGCCATTCACACCTGGGGTGAACTGAACTCAGTGTGAGTCTAGCCACTGTTTTCAGTGGGACCAGGATTTCGCCCAAGCAGTTTTCACTGAAGTCAGTCTGAGCTGTGTGAGTGTATCTGAGAGCAGAATTTGGCTGCTTGAGTGTAAGGTATAAAGGACTTAGTAACACCAACCTAGAAGAGGCCTGGCTGGGCAGAGAGGATGGGTTATGCTGGCTCCTGCTTGCTCACTACTGCTGGTTGGAAGTAGGGATGGGAGGGGTGTTAGGGAAGGGAGATGGGGAGGCACATATTGTGCCAAAGAGTTGATGCTAAGCATGTTCTTTGGCTGCGTAGAGACATCCTGCCTGATTTCAGCATTCTGCTGTATGAGCATATGCATGGCTTCCATTTGCACATCCACACATTCACACACACTGCCAGTCGTCACTGTGGTTTGGGTGCAAAAATCACATGATGTCCCTTCAGATGTTATGCTTTATCAGCTGTGGGCAAGAGAGAGCTTTTGGGAAAATGACACTGGACAAGAAAACAGAATATTCCTGTATTATTATTTGGTATCAGCCTGGACTACTTGCTCTTCAGCATGCATGGTAAGGGCCAGATTGCCACTGGTCTCTGCATGGAAACACAACAGGGAGAGACAGGAGGAAACTTGACTTCCCTTTGCATTCCTTCTCACTGGGTCATGCAGAACACAGATAGTGCTGTGCACACAGTAAGCCTTGCTCCCTCCTGATACACCTGGCACTTTGTGCCAGAAAAGAGGTAGGGAGATATCAAGATCATAACCCTCCCTGAATGGGCTACCAAAGTTGGCTGAATGCTGAGAAAATGATAGCTGCACCCTGTCTGACAGTGGTGCAGCTGTCCTGGTGGCATGTGCTGATCAGGAGCTCCCAGGAAAATTCTGGCTGCCTTTAGTGCAGCCTTATGGTTTTAATTTTTATCTAAAAATGCCTCGAGTGTAAATCATATAGAGAGGAGATGGAGAATGGGAAATACGGTGGTTCTGGAAGGAGGAGCACAACTGTGAATTTTAAAAAATCATGTGCCAACTTCTTATTTTCTTCTCCTTTGAGCTTTTGCTGGTTCCTGCACAATGTAAATGTGTTTCCCATGTGAGAATTTCCAATACATTAACAGCTCACAGATTTAAAACAGCAAAACTCCCTGGCTTTAGTTTACACATGAACCCACTTGCTTTGAGAGCCCAATCAGAGACACTTGGGCTTGATTTTCAGAGGCCCCTAGTAATGTTCCCTCTATTTTTGTCCATGTGTGGAATAAATTTTGTTGTGTGCACAGAAGCATGTGCTGAGGTGCACCACCAATAGAAACACATGCTGCCAACTGTGGATGGCTATGGGTGCTCTGCTAATCAGCTGGGTAGCATCTGAATCTCTCCTGACTGGCCACCCAGGGATCACTGGCTCCTAGCACCTTCTAATCCAGGTAAAGATGCTGGGAGCTGTGGTTGCTCAGCGCTGCTGAAAACTGAGAGCTAATATCTCAAGTTAGATATCCCAAATCCAGGCCCAGCCAAAGACTGTGCGGGGCCCAAGGCAGCATGCTGAGCCACACGGCCGCATGGCTGCTGGCCAGGTGTGCAGGGCTGGGAGCTGAGCAGCGCGAGGCCCTGAATACGCAAAGCCTTGGAGCCCTGAATGTGCGGAGTTCAAGGTGACCACCTCGTTCGCCTTGCCCAAAGGCCGGGCCTGCCAAAATCAATGGCCACATTTGGAAGCTGTGACCTGTGTCTTGTTGGAAGCAAAGAGCAAGCAAGTCCCTCTCCCCAACAGAATTGTTCATGCTCTATTTGACTTTTGAGCTGATCTGTTTGTTCCCATTGCCGTGATTTTTTCTTGAAAAGTATGAGTAGAAGGAAGGCAGATTGCCTCCTTTTCTCTCTGGATACAGTCACCGTTATTGCTACTCATAGCCTTGGCTATTTGTTCTGAGTACCCAGAATCCCACTGCTTGCACTCCCTTCGCCAGATGCCATTCACACCTGGGGTGAACTGAACTCAGTGTGAGTCTAGCCACTGTTTTCAGTGGGACCAGGATTTCGCCCAAGCAGTTTTCACTGAAGTCAGTCTGAGCTGTGTGAGTGTATCTGAGAGCAGAATTTGGCTGCTTGAGTGTAAGGTATAAAGGACTTAGTAACACCAACCTAGAAGAGGCCTGGCTGGGCAGAGAGGATGGGTTATGCTGGCTCCTGCTTGCTCACTACTGCTGGTTGGAAGTAGGGATGGGAGGGGTGTTAGGGAAGGGAGATGGGGAGGCACATATTGTGCCAAAGAGTTGATGCTAAGCATGTTCTTTGGCTGCGTAGAGACATCCTGCCTGATTTCAGCATTCTGCTGTATGAGCATATGCATGGCTTCCATTTGCACATCCACACATTCACACACACTGCCAGTCGTCACTGTGGTTTGGGTGCAAAAATCACATGATGTCCCTTCAGATGTTATGCTTTATCAGCTGTGGGCAAGAGAGAGCTTTTGGGAAAATGACACTGGACAAGAAAACAGAATATTCCTGTATTATTATTTGGTATCTAAAACATCTTTCATGTCAGAATCTTGCCTTGTTCCCCTCACTCTTTTTTCCTTTGCTCCAGCTATGGGTGAGTGTTCTCCCTGGTGTCCGAGACCTATGAGGTATCACCAGCTAACTGAATGCTATGTTTAAAAAAATAAATAAACCTTGCAGAAGCCCAAGCCCAGCTGATGTCCCACCTCTACCAGCCACCCTGGTGCCTCTGTCTTCTTGTGAGTCAGACAAAGATCCTGTCAAAGCCAACTAGATTGGTGCATTCAACTGAATACCCTTACTGACCTGCTCTATTCTTCCAAGAGATTCCCCCACCCACACCTGCTCTTGGGCCAGACAGGGTTTGGGTCATTTTCCCAATTTGTGAATGCCCTTAGACCACAAGCTGGGATTTTTAATGTGTTTACCTTGTGCTGGCCAAAGTGACCTGTTGTCCCATTCAGCTCAGTGCATAGAACTTTTTCATGTTCATGTTCACACATGGTGGCAGGCAGCTGGCCATTCCAAAAGACCAACCTGGCCACAAGTTTATGCATGCTTATATTCAAGGTGATGAGTCCAGCAGCTGTAGTCCTCTCTCAAAAACAGGAATCCAAATGACCTCGTAGTCTTTCCATATGTGTGCTTTCCTGCCGAGAAACTCCTTCATTTAACTGAAAACAATTTTGGAATCACATGGTCAACCTGTCCTTAGGCCCATGCAGGGTTACCTGACTGAACGACCATGAATTATATTATTGGCCTAGTGGTCTAGTGACAGCACAAGCAGCTGCCATGCCAGGATCCCTGTTTGGGAGCTGAGCTGAATCTTTCATTCCCTGGACTGGGAGTGCTGTGCTGAGGAAACTTGACTTCCCTTTGCATTCCTTCTCACTGGGTCATGCAGAACACAGATAGTGCTGTGCACACAGTAAGCCTTGCTCCCTCCTGATACACCTGGCACTTTGTGCCAGAAAAGAGGTAGGGAGATATCAAGATCATAACCCTCCCTGAATGGGCTACCAAAGTTGGCTGAATGCTGAGA